CGCACAGTCACCTCCACATCCTTTCTTTCTTCCTTCATCTACAGTTTAGGGATGAAACACAGGCCGGACAACAGCTAATACACATACAGGCTTGCTCATCTGGGTATCTGAATTAGCGCTCACTGTTTTCCCACAATTGACAATATTCGACTGTGTCCCTCTCGTCGGCTGGCCTACAGCGCCAAACAAACATCCATAGTTTACATTTTTCAAAATTTTTCAATAATTTCCAAAACACATTTAACAAAAAGTAATAAATCATTATGTGATAAATTCGATTTTTTTAAGAAGCGATAAATGCGATTTCTTTATAAGCAAACGTAAAATGTTCCCAAGACTTATGCTAGCTGTGTCTAGTGAAAAAACTAAAAAAAATATAAAAAGTACCATAAGCTGAAAAAGTCCCCATGAGACCACATAATTTTTTTGTTTGCCAATTAATTTGCTCTCATCTATGTATGTTTTTAACGGCGCACAAGCTTCGGTGATCAGATAAAACATACCGTTCATCTGAAACATAAATTTCAATAAAATAATTGAATTTCTGAGAATATTAAAATCTCGACAACTGATAAAAATTTTTCCTTTTTTCTTTCTCGAAGCTAAAAAATCTTTCTCGAAACTAAAAAAAACCGCTCAGAAAATCCACGTTAGTGATGTTACTGGGATGCTTATACATCATGCCAGGCACAATTTTGCCAGGCTTTTCGATTTTGGGCTGCATACCTTCGGATGCTCAATGAAAAGCAGTTTCAAAAAAACTAGTTTTTTGGAAAAACATAAAATACTGGTGAAAAAAAGACTCGATTTCGAAGAAGTGCTTGGAATGCAACAAGTTTTTAGGCATTTTGTGTTCTGTAACAGCAGTACAAAACGCATACTGCCACGGGGTTGCCTCTGTGTGTATGTGTGTGTGTGTTTGTGTGTGTGTGTGTGTGTCCGCAGCAACATGTCCGCAACTTTCAACTCGGGAACCACAAAAGCTGGGGAGCTGAAAATTTAGGGGAATGTTCTCCAATCTACGGGTGGCCCCGCAAATTTAAATTCAGCCTCGCCGTACCCGCGGGTAACACGTACGGCCCGGTAAAATTTTTGGCGAAGATTATTATCTCAGGAACCACGGAAGCTAGGAAGCTGAAATTTAATGGCCATGTCCCCTGCTCACGTGCGATTCGGAAAATTTAAATTCAGCCTTCCCGTACAGGCGGGTAACACGTACGGCCCGTGAAACTTTTAGCGGGTAAATTATTATCTCGGGAACCACGGAATCTAGGAAGCTGAAATTTTGTGGGACTGTTTCCTGCCCACGTGCAACGCCTCAAATTTAAATTCAAAGCAGTGAAAATCATTAGCAGGCAATCGTTAGGTGGACGAAAAAATAAAATTGTTATTAATAAATCAGTTTACTTCGACACTATCCAAATAAGCCAAAACATTCGGATGTCTTAAAGTTTTCAATATTCGGGCTTGCGATTTTAGTGCCCAGCCTGCAGTCAAATCGGATGATGCCCAGAAACATGTTGCTAATTCGGCCGGATCCGCCTGAAACAGAATATCCGTCAAATAACAGGATTATCAGAAAAAACTGGTAAAAGATTATAAAAATTTTGCCTTGCCCTACAAAAATCTCGTACCTTTTTGAAGCTTTTACCAACCGATATGCCATCGAAGCTGAAAAAACTGGTTTCCGGCAATTCGTACGGAAATGTTGCTTTTGGATCACGCGAAAAAAACGATGACAAAACAGATGTCATAGCCTGGAAATAGTAAATAAGGTAACTTTTAAAAAATTTGTTTTTTTTTTAATCAAACGCAAGTTTACATAAATAATTTTTGCTTGATGAACAAACATTTTCTCACAGATCTTGTGGCATATAAAAATTTTTGTTGTGTTTATTTAAATATATATACATATATAAATTTAAGAATTTCTTATGAAAGCTACACCAATACCAAAAATTACAGTCTTCCAGCTTTTCAGATTCCCGAGTTAGCAGCTTGCCCGTAAAAAAAT